TGGAAAGAGGCTTCCTACAGCAGCAGCGCAGCAACAGCGGCGCGCCGCGGCGTTCTCGGATATTGCGAATATTGCCGACAGTGCACCACTCTTCTCTGCCCCTAGGGGGGATAACAACAGAGCCCTGTTACGGAATTTGTTCCTTTTCCTCGCTTCCCCCCGCTCCCCCTTGCCCGGCGCCGCGCGGAGGCGTCGCAAAAACACTGCAAGAGCGTTGTAGCGACGCCGAGCCTCGTTGGACAAAAGATCGCATAGTGCATCTTTCTTTGCAGACAGGGCGGCCGGACTCGCCTTTGTTTTGTGTGTCAACAGTTGGCACTGCTAATGCCAGCGCAGTGCACACGGGCCAGCGCTGGCTGCGCTTCATCAGAAATAAAGTCACATTTCCTTTATTTCTCTTTCCCGTTTCTTATTCAGTTTTTATTTTACTACACAAATAAAGGACTTTTATTCCCATTTTTCCCATTCTTGCCTCATATTCACCAATCGTGGATGAAATCCGTTTGGCCTGCCAGAGATGAGTCTCTTCATATCGCATTCATGCCGTCATTGTTAGCCGCACTGTTGAGCTAAAACTGTAATCTTTATCATCCGTAACTTTATAATTATTATATCGGGTACGAATGCATTATTTGTTTGTGACGGCCGTGACTGACTTTCTTGCAGGACGCCGAGCGACCCCGTGGAGGAGACTGGCAGAGGCCGGGCGGAGCGCAGTCGGTACCGGAACCTGGAGTGGCCCGCCTACGAGCCCGTCCACAAGAAGTACCTGCACCTTGGTGAGTGCCAGTAGATAGTAGTAGTTCCCTCAGACAGAGTAAGATTTTTCTCACACAATATATGTGCAGTTTGACTAGGCACACTGGAAACAAAAGTATGTAACCAGTATGTACCGGGTGTAACTGAGAATGCGCAACAATGTTGCGGGTTTGCCTACCCAGTTAGCCCGTAAGGCGCCATGGCCCCTGCAGCCCTGGCGGGTATGCGATCCCGCAACACTGTTGCGCATTCTCAGTTACACCCGGTACAGTACATGGCAGTATGGCAGTGGCAGTGTCCAACTCTATGGTGAAAACTCTTTGGTTTTGTACTGGAGTACTTAAAAGTGTTCAGCAGAAAAATTGAACACTTTAAAATGTCCAAAGCTTCATCATGCAGCCCTGAAGTGGGACATTTCTAGGCGTTCAATTTTTTTGTGGAACCCTTTTTATGGTTCAAAAATATCCAGTTTAACAATTAAAAGTGTGCAACGTAGTGCTGAGCCCTTGCATGTGCACGTGGACGCCCATTGCACACTCAATTTATCAGTGTGACCAAAAGTATGCATCTCTACACCAGGAATTTCCCAAGTGTGTGAATGTGCACACTTCTCGGTGAGTGAACGCCATTCGTACACATGGAGGCCCAAGCGTGTAGGAATTTCAATGCATAATTCACTTTTTTCACTCCCTTAAGTTTACGGATGGGCATTCGAACACGTGCGTTTCCAGTGTACACTGGCAGTATTTACGCAGCCCACGCGGGGCAGGCCCGGGAGAGACAGTCTCCCTGATCCAGGACGCCTGCACGATTCCCTCTCAACGCGTCGCGTCGTCCCCTCCCTCCCCC